CCCCCGACCCCTGCCGCCTCTGTATGTTTATGATCAGCTTTGGTCTTCTTTATAACTGAGTAATAAAGTGATTTTATAAACTTTAAAGCACCATACAAATACATCCTGTTATTTATTAGTGTTTCCTAATTGCCCCGAGGCAAATGCTGCCGTGGGCAAATACTTTCTCCATCAGATTTAACGGAACCATCCTGGCGTTACAAAGATCATACAGGCTGGTTTTGTACTTTGTGGATAAGGTGACAGTATAACAGATCATATGAGCCTGGTTAGTCTTTGAGCTGGCCCCCTTTCTTGGAAGGGACCCAGACATGACCTGGTCCTTTTACTCACGAGGGTTTGAGGACCAGCGAGGCGAAGGGACACTGGCCCAAGGTCACGTGGCTGCCATCATTTCAGAACCTGGAACGCACCTGCTTCCTCCTGCTTCAGCACTTTGCACGTGCTGTTCCCTCCCCCTCCATCCGTCTGGTCCCTCCTCTTCACTCTGCTAACTCCTGTGCTTCCTTCAGCTGTCACCTCCAACCTCCCTTCTTCAAGGAGGCCTTCCACGACCCTTCTGACAGCTCCACGAATCTAGGCTGCCGTTTACGCCTTCTTGTGGGATTACTTGATTCATGTCTACGTCCCCCACCAGACTGTAAGCTCCACGAGGGCAGGGTAAACACTGTTGGCTGGCTCTTTTGCAGCACAGAATCTATGTGCTGCACACTGCCTGGCACACAGTAGGTGCTCACAAAATATGTGACACAGTGCCTGGCATACAGCAGGTGCTCGGTAAACACTGCTTGAAAGGGTGAGTGCACGATCTCTGGACGTGGACAGCCCGCTCCGACTCCCAGCCCAGACTCCCTCTGTTTTCAGCCCGTGGTGGCCTGGGTAGTTCCCGAGAGGAAGCGGGGGAGGCCCAGCGGATGCCTGTGGTGCTCTGAGCCCTGTCACGCAGCTGTGTTCTCTCACCTTAGGCCCCTGGATGGGAGCACCTGCCTCTCCCGGATGCACAGCTGGGCTCCACTGCAGGTGCTGCACGGTGACACCGATGTCCTCTTTCCGGTCAGCGGTGTGGGCTCCTACAGCCCCGCAGGTGGGTGATGCCTCTTTTCTCCAGCACGAACTTTGGCTCCGGGAACCAGCAGGTGTTTCTGGGTCACCTGTGCAGGGAGGAGTGGGAGCCAGGAGGCACGGGGCTTAGGCCAGGAGGGGCCTGTTGAGACTGGAAGTGATAGAGGGTTTGGCTTCTCTTCTCTGAACCTGGGTGTTGGAGGTGCTCTCGCCTGGGTGGGTGTTGGGCTGAGCCGGCTGACACGTCACCAGGGAGCCTAAGCTAAGCCTGTTTTTTTTCTTGCCAGTGACTTGTTGAACTTGGTCATGTACAAGTTGACCACAAACAGTCATTTTTGCCTCTTAGGACAAGGGACAAGGTCACAGAACCCATAGCTGTAGAGGCCCTGGCGCCCTTTGTAGCAGAGTGCTTGGGCATCAGGGAGTAGCCTGCCTTTAGAGTGGATAAGTGTTTCTGACCTGTTCCATGTGGTTGAGCACGCTCACATGCACTTTGTTATTGTTTTCTTTAGCTAGAGCAGGTCACGGTGGTGGGAGGGAGGCTTGGATGAGCCCGGCTTACCCAGAGGGGTGGGTGTGCAGTGCAGCTGGCGCAGTGCCTGGCACAGTGAAGTGCTCGGTCGCTGTTACTGCCCGAACAGCGCTACTGGTCAGCGAGGCCTCGGGCCCCCAACGTAGGTGTCCTTCCCACATTGCTAGGGCCAAGTTTAGGACGCCGTGACGGGGACACTGACTGCTGAGGAAGCTGCTGACGTTCTGAAACGGATGACAGACTGTTCTTCTCACTGTGTGGGGAACAGAAACCCACTCAAACTAGCTGGAGCGCAGGGGCAGGGCGGTGACGGTGACTGGCTGCAGTCTAGGGTGGGGTCAGATCCGTCCCAGCTCTAGGAGTTCCAGGAGCTGGGGCAGGTTACCTCTCTGAGCCGCAGTATTTCCGGTGGAAATTGAGGCTAATGAGAGTGCGTGGCTAGGTGACTGCTGTCCGCCAGGCTGGTCTGCTCGTCTGTAAAGTGTGGACGATGGTGACAATGACAGCCAACACTTCTCAAGCCCTTGAAGTGAGTCAGGACTGTAAGGTGATCAACCAGATTAACTCATCCACTCTTGACCACAGCCCGAGAGGAAGGAGGGGTCATTATTATCTCCCCTTCCTCTCAGATTTGTGGTGAAGATTCCCTAAGTTAATCTCGGGAAAGCTGCCAGGTACACATGAAGGCCCCGTGAAAGCTTATTGCTGGCGTTGCAGAGGTGATGTGACAGGACATCTTGTCCTCGTGGGCCCGGGAGCTGCGTCTTGAAATGGAGGGGTAGTATACCAGAAATGAAAATGACCCCCAGATCCGCCATCCTGAGATGGTCCTGCCGTCTGTGTTGTTCTGCACCCCCATGCTTCCTTTTGTTGATCTGCCCCCATCTCTTCTAGTCTGTCTTTGCTCCCTCTTCCTTCTCGCCCCCTCCCCTTTTGGCCTGTACTTGGCTGAGGTGCATCACCATTGCCTCAGCCACGTGACCTTCCACACCAACTGGAGCTTCTCTCTGGGTCTCAGTTGAAATTTGCAGAGAGGGATGGTCTGTGGGCCTAGCTCGTGTCTGCAGGCCAGGCCAGCGGCGGTAGCTCCTTTCCCTCAGGTGACCATCCTTGTTCCAAGAGGCCAACAGTTGGGGGGATGGCTACCTTGCCATTGCCCATTCAGTGGCAGTGCAGACTCGGGCGGAATGTTTGAGAAGGGGGTGGAGTTTGCAGAGAGCAGGTGGTCCTAACCTAACTGCACACTGGGACCACTGGAGAGTTTCCAGTGTCTGTTCCTGGCTCCCAAGTTGTGGTTGAGCTCCCCGCTCACCTTGTCGCTCCCCACCGAGGGGGCCTTTTTGTTGGGTCCTGCATTGTTGCTGGGCTGTTAGGGGCATGCACCAGGCAGTGTGTTTTGTTTCCAGTGGCTCCTGCATTTCTTAGCTGGGCTCCTCTAACCATCAGACCCTGGGGGCTGATGGTTGGCTGGCTGCCCCTGGGGCATTGCCGTTTGCCGTTCACATTGGGGTTTAGTCACAGAACCCAGCGTCTTCCTCCCTCTCTGGGCTTTCTGTAGACCAGAGTCTCCAGGGAAAGGAGCTTCTGGCCAAGCTCCAGGATCCTCTTGAGAAGGCAGCCCCCTGGCAGATTTCCCGAGATCCCACCTCTGGCTGTCAGCCTCACAGAACCAGAGGCTCCGTCTTGTCACTGTTGATGGGACCCCGAGCTCCAGCTTATCTGGATTATCCTCACCGGAGAGGCCGTGTATGAGCCAGTTTGCCAACTTGTTAATTTGCTACAGTAACAAAGCTGCTGGGAGTCTTGGAAGCTTGTGACAGCCTGAGGGGAAAACCCTCCATGAGTAGGAGCATCCTGTGGGAAGACAAATTATTCTTGGGCTGCATGAAGACGCTGGAATCAGAGCTGGGGGAATCCGCTACCTGATTGGAATGCCAAATTGCGTCAAGTCCCTCCTGACCTGATCCCCCATTTCTGTGGGAGGCCTGTGTGCCAGGTGGTGCTGGGGCCTGCCTGTTAGGGTGGCCCTTGCCTGGGCAGCCCTGGGCGCACACTGCCAACGTGTCCTTGTCTTTCCCTCCATTTCTAGTGTCCCTTCTGATTGACACCCTCCTACTTGAGCGATGTTAACATATTCTCTGTCGTTCTGGCCTGCGGGCCATTTTATGTCTTTATTGGTGACTTTGCACACTAAGGGCTCCTCCCTTAGGAGGCATTTTCCTCATCTTTGAAAATGTTGGTCCTCTGCAGTCACTGCCCTTGGGGGTACTTAGAGAAAGAGGGAGGCAGGGAGGAGGATAAAAAAGGGAGAGAGGTGCATGCTGGGAGAGGATGGATGTTTTGTAGCCAAGTCTTGGGAGGGAGAAAGCAGCAGAGAAGGGGACCCCAAACACAGAATTATTATCCTTCTGAATCTTGGAAGAGGCAGCTCTGCAGTTTAGGGGGGCCGTGCTTTGAGCTGCATTTCTGGGATTAGGGAGGGACTGAGAGAAGGGAGACGCCAGCCCAGGGTCTCATGAGACCCTGACAAGCAGATGGAGGATTAGATACAGTTGTTCCTCCGGGCATGTATAGTACATACAACAGAGCAAAGCACATTTACTAACATCTCTTCGAAGCTGCAAGGGAGAGAGAGCCCCCAAAGTTTTTTCTGACTGAGAATGATAAACAGAGGTGAAAAAACACCCATTTCTACTCGCTGCACATGTGAAACTGTTATTGCTCGTCTCCTCATTGAGGGTCCTATGTTCAGTGTTGTGGTTTAGCCAGTGCAGAGTCACTTTCTGAGGGCTTGCTGCAGTTCATTTGAAACCTCAGGTCCTCAACCCCTTCATTTCCCCATCAGGTCTCACATGCTCCGACTTCTCCTCGTCCTGCCATGGGTCTTTGGAGTTGTTTGTTGAGGGTGAGGAGGGTCTGTGGTGCTGCTCTGATCTGAGATGGTTGATGTTAGAGCTTGGCTCCCAGACGGTGATTTTATTGTTTGAAATGTCAAGATATTGTGGTGGCCACAGGGCCTGCGTTGTGTGTGGTGCCCCGCCCCCACTTATGTGAGTTGTAAAGTTGTAGGGCTCATGGTTTTCCTTACTGAATCAGTGGGTGTTCCTGCCCGGCACCAGTGTCGTGCTAGGCTCTGGGGGATCCAAAGGTGAATCCCCATGGAGTTTTGCATGCAAGGAGGGGACAGGGGACATCATTTTAATCAGCTGATGTAAAGGAGAAAGGAATGAATAGTCGACGTGTACCCTGAATGCTTTCACTACCCTATTCTAACTCATTCTTATCTCTTGCCTGAGTTATTACAAAGTAGCCTCTCAACAGCTCTCTCCACTTCCATCCTTTCCCCACCCCTCCATTCTTCCTTTAGCAGCCAAAGTGATTTTTTAGAACGTAGATTAGATTGCATCATTCCTCTGCTCCAAACCCTTTTACCACACTCAGGATAAAATCCAGATTCCCCGGGGCCGGCCCGGTGGCGCAAGCGGTTAAGTGCGCGCGCTCCACTGCGGCGGCCCGGGGTTCGCCGGTTCGGATCCCAGGCACGCACCAAGGCACCGCTTGTCAGGCCATGCTGTGGCGGCGTCCCATATAAAGTGGAGGAAGATGGGCACGGATGTTAGCCCAGGGCCAGTCTTCCTCAGCAAAAAAGAGGAGGATTGGCAGATGTTAGCACAGGGCTGATCTCCTCACACACACACACAAAAAAATCCAGAATCCCCACTGTGGCCGTCCAGGCGCCAGCTCACCCCCGCAGCCTTATCTCCTCCTGTTCCCCCTTGCTCAGTGTCCCCAGCCACACCAGCCTGCTTCCTCTTCCTTACACCGCACGGCATGCTCCTCCTGCCTTCCACACCCTGTGCACATCCTTCAGGTTGCAGCCGAAGTGTCGCGGTCTCACAGAAGGCTCCTCTGCCCCTCCCCAGACAGGCCAGGCCTCATGTTTCACACTGTCGTAAACCTCGTGTGTCTCCATTGCTCTGCCCTCAGTTTGTGATTGTGTATGTGTGTAGTTGCTTGATAATGCCTGTCCCCTCTGCTAGTCTTTGAGGTCCGTGAGGATGGGACTGTGTCTGTCTCGATTCCAGTGTGACCCTGACCTTGGCTCGGAAGGCCTCTGCTGAGGGGGTGAGTGGACTGATGCAGCGGGTGGGGACGTGGGGATGCTGCAGGGAGTGGACAGCTGGCAGTTGGAAAAATGAACTCCAGGGACGTGTAGAGGGAAAAGCAGGTATCTCAGATCAGCTGACTGAGACTCTGAAGTGGGCTCAGGTCTTCCATTGGGCAGACTCGGTTCAATCCTCGCACGTTGGCTGTGTGATCTTGGACAAGTCACTTAAATCCTCAAGGTCCATTTCTTCATCTGTAAAATTAAGATAATACTAGTACCACCTCAGAGGGGGCCTCGAGCATGAGTACGAGTCTGTCTCTACGTTTGCTCTGTGGCCCCGGTGCGTCAGGCCCGCTGCAGCTATCAGCCGGTGGTGGTCGTGTGTTATGATGGGAAACCCACTGGGGCCGAGTCGGTGTCGTGTCTGGGAGGCTGGTAGGTGATGTTGGCCTTCGCTCCAGCTGTGGGTTTCTGTTGTGTGTGTTGGAGTCCCCGTCTTGGCTTCAGGGAGTGGAATGTGGCAGTGGTGTGTGAGTTGGATTGGAGAGGGTGAGACAGAAATGAGGGGCCCTGCTGCAGAAGACCCCTTAGGAGGCATTGAGCCTTTGAACTAGGGTGGCAGCAGAAACAGCTGTGAGCAAGGGGTGGGAGCTAATTAGGTGGAACTGGAAGGTCTTGGACATGACCCAGCTCTGCGATGGGGTGTGGGGGGGCGTGCCACGCTCCTCTGAGGTTACAGCCCAGAGGGAAGTGGTAACAGAGGGGAGCATAGGCCCAGTAGGGTATCCCAGTAGAGTTTTCTGACAGGCAGTTAGAAATGTGACACTCTGGGGCAGGCCTGGTGGCACAGTGGTTAAGTGCGCGCGCTCCACTTCGGCTGCCTGGGGTTCGCAGGTTCAGATCCCGGGCATGTGCCGACGCACCGCTTGTCAGGCCACGCTGTGGCGGCATCCCATATAAAGTAGAGGAAGATGGGCACGGATGTTAGCCAAGGGCCAATCTTCCTCAGCAAAAAGAGGAGGATTAGCATCGGATGTTAGCTCAGGGCTGGTCTTCCTCACACAAAAAAAGAGAAATGTGACACTAGGATTCAAAACTGAGGTCCTAGCCAGAGGTGAGGACTTGGGAGCTGTCATTGTCACAGAGGTGAGAGCTGGAGCCAAGACCTTGCTGGATTTGCCAAGTGGGACAGAGGGCCACGAGCCCTGACTCAGACACACCTTCACACAGAGTCAGAGAAAAAGGAGGGCCAGAGAATAGTGCTATGAGGCTGAGAGAGGAGAGCTCCAACGGGGAGGCCTGCTGAGCCTGGTCGTCTGCTGCAGGAAAGTGAGGAGGGGACGGAGGGAAGAGTTTCTTGGGCTCCTTAGGGAGCAATTCCAGTTGACTAGGAGGATGAGAGCTGTGGCAGGCAGGCTCGGTTATAGAGCGAGTTGATGCCAGCCACCACTCGCTGAGTGTTCCCACTGAGTGTGCGCGTATTACAGCGTAATTATGTGGTAGGCGTTATTAAAGTGTTGTATGGTGGCACTAGTGTCACCCCACTGCATAGATGAGGGAAACTCATATACTTAGTATACTGATACATTATATATTAATATAATATACTTATAATACTTAAGCTGCTTAGACTGAGGCACAAAGAGCCTAGGTAACTTGCTGAATTAAAGTTGGGGAGCAGGGATTTGAACCCAGGCAGTTGGGCACCCTTTAACAATACTGGGGAGCAAGGAAGGGGAGGTGGAGAAGTAGACACTTTGTTTCCCTTTTGAACTTCTTGAAAGAGGTAGGAGTGAGTGGACTAGCTTGGTGGGGACAGCAAGGTAGAAGAAAAGGTGAAAAAACATTGTTTCCCCTTAGAGTTCCCTTAGTTCAACCCCTTAAGAGCTGGGGAATCTTGAGCAGGATGAAGCCAGCATAAACAGAAGGAGCGAGGCGGCGGCGGAGGCTGCGAGGGATGGCTTCTCTGCATCCCTGGTCCCCAGTGCAGGCCTGGTTTGTAGTGGGCATTGACAGGCCGGAATCTTCTCCGATGAGCAAATGTTCTCCTGGGTGATAATGGCTTTAATGTCACCATCTAGCCCAGGGGGCATGGATTTGCACGGTTTCATGGAAAGAGACTGACTTGAACAGCAGCTAATACATTTATGAAAATCCTGAGTGCCTGTTGTTTCTGGAGATTATTTGTGGCCTCACTTCTTCCACGTAATGCAGAGCAAGCTGCTCTTTAGAAAGCAGCGCCGCTTGGTTTGGACGCGAGCAGGTGCTGTCAGCGCTTAGACTGTGCTGCCCCCTAGTGTCAGTCTTAGGCCACTCCAGGCGGGAGCAGTTTTGTTTAACAGAAGGCTGATTTATTGTTCCTTGATTCTGAGGTTGGCTCTGAAGATAGACTTCATGGGTGATTCCAGGTGGCTCAAGGTCAAAAAGGTTAAGTGAGAGCATAGGGCCTTCCATTAGTGACTGATACCAAATCTGAGGTTATGGCCGGAAAAATGAAATGGGTAGCAGATTAAAATCCAGGATGCAGATGAGGAGGAATTGCTAAGTGAACTGCTTTAGCAGAGGAGCCAATGTCTGCATTGTGTCCTTGTCTCATGGAGAAAATAGAATGAAAACAAAAGCCTGACTTTCTCCTGCGATTGCTTTGTGCACAGATGCCCCCCTCAGAAGCCTGGAGAACGGGACAGGACCAGAGGACCACATTGCCCCGGAGCCGGGACCTCGGTACAGGTTAGTGTTCAGACACCACGTTGCCTCTGGGGTTGAACTGTCCTCTTCAGCTCTGCATTTTATTCTTTTTTAAAAATAGGAGGGCACCTGCTAGGATTAAGAGGCAAGGCCTTACTTCACGTTTCTGTTCAGAGTTAGTCTTACATCACTGAATGTGAAGTTGCCAAGGGTCTCAGCATGAGCGACTGTACAAGAAACAGTGTTTGTCAGACTCCCGTTGCACACCACCTTTACTTTGTACACTTTTGGGGCCGTATCTGGGTGCCTCTTCTATCATTATTTTCTTCATGTTAATATTTGATAATCATATTGAACAACCTTAATATTATATAATACTTAAGCCGCTTAGACTTCATGTATCTGTGAAGTGCTTAGTCTGGCATATAGTACTAAGTGCTCTTTCCAGATACAAGTATCTCCAAGTCCTTGGGTGTCTGGTGGCAGAGCTAAGATGGACACTCAGGTCCCCCTGAATCATGACCCTTGTTGTTCTTAGCTGTTTCCTTTTTCCTCTTCATGGTTTGCGTTTGGTGTCCCCGGGATGTATCATGTCTGCATTTTCAACTTGAGCTGCAGGGCAGGAGTCGCTGACTACCGCAAACCGTGCTCAGTGTTGTGGTCTCGCCCTGGGTGGGGGGGTTCTGCTCTTTGAAAATGACACTCCCCGCAGGCGGCTTGTGCCGGTTAGTACAACATCGGGAAGGATCGGTGTCACCAGGCCCAGCCAGGACTCGGAGTCCTTTTTGCTGTTTATTTCAGAGAGTTTGGAAAATGCAGCAGTGAATGAAACAATGTCCCTCTTAGTCCCCAACTCCCTTTCATTGTTGATGTTTTGGTTCTTTTCCTCCTATTTACATGTGCGTGCCTGCGTGCGTGTGTGTGTGTGTGTGTGTGTGTGTTTTAACCATATCACGGCCCTGCTGTTTTCATGAAAGATGCTAAGCGTTATTTTTCCATGTGGCAATTCTTTGTAAGTATACAATCGATTCTCATTATTGGTGGTGGCTTTGTTCTGTAAGGTCACCGTGAAGACTGGACCACTGCTCCGAGGGGAAATACAGGGTTAGGTTCCTGTGTGCCTCTGGTCACATTTTTGTCAACCAGTCAATACAGAACTTGGTTTGATGTCTGTCCTTGTTTAAAGACACCTTACTTAACATATATTGTTGATCCATTAACATTGAGCTCACAGCTGACAGCACTATAACTCACACTTGGACAGAGGTCACCCAACACACAGAGTTTCTCCGTAAGGCACATCCCAGCCTTTTTGCACTAGGAGCACCAGACAGCCCTTCAGCTCTGTGCTTGGGGGCCACTTTAAACAGCAAAATCACCAACAGAAAAGGCAAGAGAATGTGAAAAGTGTGGCACTAAATAGCCCGCCAGATAGGCGTGTTTACAGTGTGACGGTTGAGAGCACAGGCAGAGCTTACCTTGTTTGATCAGCTGGGAGCCTGCACGTCCTGTGACTGAATTTTTGCTGCTCTGTGCATGTTCCTGGGTGACCATGAAGGTGCCATGCGAACTGATTTTGGAATTACAAGTAAACTTCAGTGAGTTGGTGAATTTGCAAATACGGAATCTGCAAATAATGAAGATCGACTGTAAATTCACAGGGCTGCTTTCCTTTCCTTCTAGTAGGTATACCTGAGTCAGCTTAGCACCTGCTAGTTTTTTGAATGGCGAGGTTGTGCGTTTTACGTGGCCGAGTGTAACTTCCTTCTGCCTGTCTTTTTCCAGTGTGGAAGCCAGTCCTCCAGGCCAAGGAAGTCCTCTGAGCAGTCTCTTACCTTCTGCCTCGGTGCCAGAGTCGATGACAATTAGTAAGTACTTTCTGAGCCTCCTCCACGAATGCTGGGATGACTTCCGGGCCTGTACGTCACGGCAGTGCCTGTGTGCTTGCCCCTACATGAGTGTGGACTTGGTGAAATGTGGGGTAAAGTCAGGTGTGTGTATCTGGTCGTGGACTGGAAGTGTGCTTCATGGGCGTAGGCTTCCTGAGCTGTGGTTAACACGTGATGCTTGGGCATGTGCACGCTCCAAAGGACGCACTTCAGCAGTGGAGCAGCATGGAGTTAGAAGGGAAACTTCTGTTGTTCAAAGTTTCGGAGTTTGCCTCTTATAAAGCTGTCAGCTACAGAGAAACTGTTCTAGTTGGGTTTCCATTGTAGCTCTGGAGGAATCATTTTTGTAAGTAAGGAAGAGTGTCTCTCTTAAAAGTGAATGAAGTTTGCTAATGACCAGGTTCAAACTGTTTCCAACCTTACTGCTCAGAAAAAGTGTTAAAGATATAGCAATTAAGATTAGGTTTGAGTGGCTTTATATAATAAAGAATAAACCAACTGTTGCTTAACAAGATAGAAATTCATCTCTCTCTCCAGAGCTGGGCAGGCTCGGGCTGGTATGTGGCTCCATGGTCATAAGAGACCAGAAATCCTTCCATCTTGCCTCATAGTCCAAAATGGTTGCTTTACCTCCAGCAATCCCATACTTATCCCATGTAGCAGGAAGGAGGAAGGGGGCGAAGGAGAGACTTCCTTCCTTTTCATAAGTAGGATTCAGGGGTCTGAACTGGCATAGGGAAAGAAATTACAACTTTTTTCTTTAGCCTCTGACTGAAATTTAGCATTTCCTTCCATTATGAAAGTAGCAGCAAACCATAGAAACCATAGCAGTGTTAGCAAAATGGGTGACTTTGTCCCTGATAGAAGTCATAGGCACCTGCAACAACTGTGACATGAAAAAAATCTCAAGAGTGTCATTTTTGCTTGAAGATACGGTGGTTTTTAATGTGATAATGAAGAATCCTATGTATTAGTATGTTACTTTTCTGTTTTACATTTTGATAATTCTATTTCAATGTAATCAGTTTCCTTTGTGATTTTGTGTGTTTTATGTATTTTAAAACCTTTTTCTGAGAAGGGGCCCATGGGCTTCACCAGACTGTAGAATGGGTCTATGGTACAAAAAAGGTGAAGCCCCCCCACCCCCTTCCAAGCTGTAAGGACCCTTCCTGGAAGGTGCACAGTATCCCACTCGGATGGCCAACCTCTGTCCTCGGCCTCCCCTGGCTGTTGAGGAGGCGTTGTGCCCCCACCCCCCAAAAAATAATTAGGATTTTCATTGCTAAGGAAGGAAGAGTGGAGGTTGGGAGACACCCAGCATTCGCTGATCAAGGATGAGGAAGGAAACGAGTAGACGCTGTGAGGTTGGCGTGGTGGAAATGACTGGCCTCCCTCTGTGTAATGGAAGTGTGTGGTTTATAATGACAGTCCCCAGCCGTGAACTCAGCTGAGCAGGAGTTCATAGATCCCCAGTGTGTGGGACACACAGACCAGGAGAACCCCAGGGTCGCTGGTTTTCAAATTTCAGTTATTTATTTACCGCTGTACTGTTACTTACCTTGTCATTTTGTCTTTAAAAAAAAAATGCACTTAAAAAAACCTGAATGCCTTTATTTAAAGAAGGAACTTTATATGATTACTGTAAATGTAAGTCAACTACTAGTTCACTTAAATAGCGGGTAAACGTAACAATAAAGACAAGGGAAACAGTGTTATGAAGTGGGCCTGGTTACTGTTCCCGGTCCCCGCTTCTGAGTGAGCCCCACCGCCACTGTTGAAAAGAGAGACGGGCCAGTGAGAAGCATTAGAAAGGTGTTGAGGGTGTCCCGGTGCTCAACTCAGATGTCTTTCCTGGAAGTGATCAGAAGGATTGGAGGAGGGGAAGGGACTATCGTCTCTGATTCGCCGTCAGTTAACGCCTTGTCTTGCTAGCATCCTCAGTGCTGTCTCTGTGGGTTACACCTTGATGTGGAGAGGTCAGGCTTGACTCTGGCTCTCAGGCGCAGGTTCTCTAAGGAACACCACTTTTTGCCTTATTTACGTATGTTTCGTAGGGAAAGTGACCCCAAGACCGTGGCTGTGAACACCGGGCTTCGTAGGCGCCTTGTGCAGGCCCCGATTGTGGGGGTTTAGGCGTCTTCACGCCCTGCAGCAGGTGTCCAGCGTCCCGCTTCTGAGTAGGTTTCCTGCTCCCGGGCTGGCACGTAAAGATGGTTCGCTGTCAGCTGCCCTTCGGGTCGACAGAGGCCATGGTCTGGGGTCTCTCTCAGCCCTTTTCTGACTTGGAGGGAGCTGCTGGTTCTGCTCTGCATGGTCACCTAGGACATCCCTCTGGACACACTCGACAGCAGGAATTTAGGCTGTTTTTCTTGTTTTTACTCACACAAATGTAAATCCAGTTTCATTATTTGGTATCTCTGGCAAGTAGGGACATAGCCATACTTTACAACCTGAACCTCTGGAGGAAAACACCACCTCATCCACAGGGATCCTCGACACTGTGGTAACGTGGTTTGTGGGGGGTGATTGTGTGTGTTGTGGGGGCTGTAATGTCAGGGGACCCTCAGGGGACAGCAGTGGTGTCCCTCCCGTGTGTGCTGCAGAGGGGAGATCAGGATTCCTAGACAGTTCTAGTGGGGGGGGTTTGACCTGTGTCCTCCCCATGCTGCCCCACTTCTTGTGTCATCACAGGAAGTTAACAGGAGCAAGTCTGCCTGGGTATCAGGGCGTTAAGTCTGCTAGGGCTGGGTGAAGAGACACTACACCTCTGGCTTCAACAGCAGGCGTTTACGTCTCAGGGGTCTGGAGGCTGGAAGCCCAAGGGCAAGGTGCCAGCAGGGCTGGCTCCTAAAGAGGCCTCTCTCCTGGGCTTGCTGGTGGGCTTTCTCTGTGAACACGCATCCTTGCGCTCTCTTCCTCTTTTTATAAGGACGCCAGTCCTATTGGATCAGGGCCCCACCCTATGACCTCATTTAACCTTAATGACCTCTTTGCAGGCCCTACCTCCAAATACAGTCAAAACATATGGATTTCCGAGGGATCTGATTCAGCCCATGACACGGGGTGTTTCAGGAGCAGGTGACCTCAGAGCTGTCCTGCTTCAGATGAAGAAGTGCATCCCAGGGCCCAGCCCCGTGGCGTAGTGGTTCAGTCTGGCACGTGCTGCTTCGGCGGCCTGGGTTCTCGGGGTTTGGATCCCAGGTGCAGCCCTCGCCACTCGTCAAGCAATGCTGTGGTGGTGACCCACATACAAAATGGAGGAAGATTGGCAGAGATGTTAGCTCAGGGCTAATCTTCCTCAGCAAAAAAAGAGGAATATTGGCAACAGATGTTAGCTCAGAGCAATTCATCCTCAGCAAAAAAAAAAAAAAAAAAGAATTGCATCCCAGCATGTGAAGCACATAGGATTCCATACCAGAGAGATGCTTGACTCTCTCAAACCCCAGGAGAGCCTGGCAAAGGAACTCCCACTCTGTGCTCTCTGAAGTGGTGACCGTTTCCCTCACATCCTCCCAAATGACTTCCTTGGCTTTGCTTAATAATCCGTGCAGGCGGGGGCCTTGGCCCTGTGACTCAGGGCCGAGCTCGCTTAGTTAACCCTCCATGCCTGGGGGAGTTGACACGTCCTCTGCCAAGCAGCCTTCCCCCTTGGATGTCTCTGAAATGGCAAAGGGTTTTGTCCTGGGCTTTTTGGGTGTATATTTTTGTCGTTTTTTAGTGTGTGGTCAGACCTACCTTCCTGCTTGCTCTCTCTACAAGGCCCTTTGGTACTTAAGAAAACACAAAAACCTGTTATGAAAAATTAACTTTTTAGTGAAGTAGTAAAGACAGTTGTAAGCGTAGTAAAACACCCATAATTCTGCCTCAGAGATACTTCCCATTTTTGCGGGTCAGTTTGCAATTCGTGTTTTGGGGTGTGCAGAGTGGTACCTGGCTGGAATTGCAGCATGCCTGCTGCTGGAGGAAGGCAGTACGTTCTCATAGCCAGGAGGGCGCGCTCTGAAGCCAGGCTGCTGGGTCGTCTCACACCTCTCAGTGCCTCGTTTCCTTGTCTAAACATGAGGACGCATACCCGTCTCATACAGTTAGTGTGGAGATGAACCATGATGTGCTTAGAAAGGTATTTGCATCAGAGTTGAGTCAATAAATGTTAGCTATTATCAGTGGGCTTATTTTGTATTCTGCTTTATTAACATTACATCATAGTCGTCCTTTTCTTCTTCATCTCCCCAGTCATCCTGTTGAATGGCTGCATAATATTCCATCATCTGATTTATTACATGTTACTAGATTATTTGTTGGAGGGTCACCTGCCAGTTTTTTGTTTTTTTGGCAGTGAGTTTCTTCATTCATTCTAAGGAAAAAAAATGAGAAGTGCTAGGCTTGTAGTAAGTGCATTCTGAGAATATTGGCCATTGTTATTTGTTTCTGCTTACGTGTTCCTTTTTTGGTAAACTCCTGGTGGTGGGGTTAGTGGGCCAAAGGTTAGACCTGTATGTATGGCCTGTTACGAAGAGCCATTTTGTGTTCTGAGTGAGTGTGTTGCCAGTAGTGCAACAGCTGCCAATTTCTTTACACTTCTCCAGCATTAGGTGCTAACATTTTAATGCACTTTTGCTACTTCTAGAACTGGAAAATGATACTTTGCGGTTGGGTCCACCGGCAGCCCCTCCTCATGCTTTCCTTCAACATTTGTGTCCCTGGGGTGAGTTGTTTCTATCCCTTAGTTTCAGGGCTCTGGTCCTCCCATCGGGTGTTCTGCCTGACTGGGAAAGGAAGATGAGAACAGGAGGAAGGGGACTCAAACAGGCGCTCTTGGCTGCTCGTGGGCTGTGTGGCTAGCACAATAACCCTGTGTAAAAATATAACCCAGTAAAAGGAATAGCGTGATTAGCCGAGTTTGCTGTGTGCCAGGTATCGTGCCTGAGCATTTTAATTCACGTTTTCTCAGTTAACCCCCAGCAGCCTCCTGAGGTACA